CCCCCCCCTCCCATCCCCAGCTCCCCTCCGTTACATAGTTTCAGCTGGCGCCCTTTTCTTTCTAAATGCAAGTAAAGACGGAAAATATTGCCAAGTTGTAGGCTTATATGGTCAGCTGTAAAGCAGTAACTATCTGACTGCTTCAAGATTACTGCAAAAATACATGATCACATCGGACCACCGTAATGCGCATTTCTATCCTGACTTTAAATTTGACGATGTATAAAAAACTTACTTTGGTTTGAATTTTGAGACTGATTGCTGCTTTTACCTGAAATAATAGAGGAGATGCTGTTAAGTTTCACTGTCTTCAGGGTAAGTACACTGACTAGGAAGTAACTTTTTCCTGAATGAGAATATGAAAACCATCTATATATGTCTGTAACCATCTGACTAATAACATAGATCTTAAAAAAGAGTGAAAATCCATGGAAATCGGAGTAATCAGCTACTACAACCTCTCCACTGAAAACACTTTCTACGCCGTTCTGTGGAGAACCGCTCTGGCTTACAGTGAAGGGAGCCTTTAAATTCTAGACTCCCTTAACTCTAGGCTTAACTCCAAACTCCCGTTATATGCCTCAGATAGTAATCCAAACTCCCGTTATATGCCTCAGATAGGAGGCATTCTACTCCAAGGTCGAGGAAGCCCGGGATGAGGAGGATTAAGCTAGAGAGCTGATCTGCAAATTTCATTGGCAATATCAGTAAAGCTGGGCTAGTTGAAGCGAGGATATTTTCAATGCAGCGAAGCAGATGAACGTGTGCACCTCTATCCTTGTGTAGGAAACGATATTCCATGACTTGTAAAACCAGATTCGCAATAATGATGATCTAACCTATTTGAGGATGAAATCGTTAATACTAACGTAGATATTAGCAAGGGCAGCGTGGAGCATTGCCCTAACCTGTATTTTAGCGTAAAATGTTGGTTGGCTTGCAAAATGTTACTTGATCATTTCGAACCAAATGCGCGTTTTGCTTGGCGCGATGCATTTATTCCATTTTAGAGGTGAAGGTCAACGAGGTATCCCAAACTATCAAGAATGTGGCCATGGAATACACAGTATGAAAAGAGTGTTTAAATGTGCCATGTACAGGTGTAATTTCATTTAATTCGATAAACTTATGCATGACTGTCCGGGAGTTGGCAACGCTGAAGTGCGGAGACGGGTGATTTGAGCATAATTGCGGGGATTGATCCTAATATGGGACAGTACGCAAATAGGCAGGCCGTGCAGTATGGATTTGTTAGCTGCAGCGATAAATACATGCGCCCGTAAGACCGTTTTTGCAACTTAGAAACTAATTGCGAAAATTGTGGGAATAGAATCATCATTTAAGTTTATGCCTAGTTGGAAAATACTGAGAGTTCTGCACTCTTCGATTATCCGCGAAACGAAAAATGGCACTGGAGTACATATACTGTTAGCTAGCACTTACCGAGTGGTAAGTGAGTCCGAGCTT